ATGCAGCAGGCGTGGCGCTTGCGCCTTCAAGCGGGGTGTGGACTGTGGACCTGATGTGTTCGACGGGCTCGTTTGCGCCCAGATGTCCAGGACCTGAGGCAGAACGCGCGTTCCGCCCCAGCAGTCGGCTCTCGTTTCAGATCCCCATGACAGCCACGATGTGGCAGGTGTGGCACTTGGGCCTCTCCCAACAGGGTGTTGACTAGGGCTGTGCCACGGGCCCGTTCGGGCCCAGTTTGCGGGGACCTGTAATTCGATGCGCCCGTGCTGGCCCAGCGGACGGGCCAGTTCCCAGAGTCTAATGATCACCGCGGTGCAGCACGTGTGGCATTTGGGCCTCCCGACGAGGTGCCGACCAGTGGTGTTGCACGGGCCTGTAACACGAAGCGTCTATGATTGGACGGGCCTCGTCCCAGAGCCCCATGATGACCACGATCTAGCAGGAGAGGTACTTGGGCTTCCCGACGGGTCCAGCGGGGTGCATATCAGGCGTGTTGTTCCACGGGCCCGTTCGCGCCAAGGTTGATAGGACCTCTAGAACGAGGTGCTCGTGTTGGCCCTGTGGACATGTCTCTTTCCAGAGCCCCATAATTACACATAATGTAGCAGGTGTGGTACTTGGGCATCCCAGCGGGGCGTCGACCCGGACAGTTCCACGGGCCCGAGCTGGGCTGTTCCACGTGCCCATTCGCGCCCAGATGTCGGGACCTCTGAGGCGAGTCGCTCGTCCTGGTCGGCTGGACATGCTTCTTCCCAGTGCCCCATGAGCACCGCAATGTCGCGGGCGTGGCGCTTGAGCCTCCCGGCAGGCCCGACCGGGGCTGTTTTGCGGGCCCGTTCGCGCCCAGGTCTCGCGCACCCCTGGGGCGAGGCGCTCCTCCTGGCACGGGGGACAGGCCTCTCCCAAGAGCCCCGTGGTCCTTGCGATGTACAGTCGGGGCCCTGAAGGAGGAACCCTTTTCGTTGGGGAGTGGCTCCGTGCTCCTGACTTGTTTCGCAGCTTGCCTTGGATGTTCTTCAGGTCTTCGACACGAAATCGAAGTTCCACCTATGGAAAATAGGGGCCTCGTTCCTTATCTAGGGTTCCCTAGGTCAACGCCCCGACTGTGCAACAGGCGCGGCCCCTGCGGCCTCCCAGGCAGGGCCCCGGCCGGGCCTGTGCTGCGGGGGCCCGTGGGCGCCCGGATGTCCGGGCCCTCTCGCGCAGAGAGCACCCGGCGCGGCCCAGCTCGACGAGTCCCGCGGGACGTCGGCCCCCGGGCCGTTCCACGGGCCCGCTCGTGCCCAGAGCGTCGGGACCTGGAGCACGATGCGCTGGCTTCGGCCCCGCGGGCGGGACGCTTCCCGGAGGCCTGCTCACCCAGAGGGCGGACCGGTCGTCCTCGGCAGAAATCCAACCACGGGCTTTTTAACCGCAACAGCGTTGATATACGCTAGTGGAGCTGGAATTACCCACGATCGCCGCGACGTGGCAGGCGTGACACGTTGACACCCCACAGGGTGTCGACCAGGACCGCTCCACGGGCCCGTTCGCGCCCAGGCTATTGGGACCCTGGAGGCGGGTCGCTCGTTGTGGCACGGTGCTCTCAGAGGCCCATGCTCCCCGCGACGTAGCAGGCGTGGCATTTGGGCTCCTCAGCGGGGTGTGGGCCAGAACTGTAGAACTGTTCCACGGGCTCGTTCGCGCCCGCCGTGGCCCAGAGGGCAAGTCTCACCGCCAAGCCCCACGCAGCAAGTGTGGCGCTTGGGCCTCCCACCGGATCCGGCGTGGCCGACCAGGGCTGTTCCACGGGCCCGTTCGCGCCAAGATTGTTGGAACCTCTCCAACGAAGCGCTCGTGTTGGCTGGGCGGACATGTTTCTTCCCAAAACCCCATGATTACAACAATGCGGCATGTGTGGCGCGTGGGCAGCCCACCGGGGCGTCGACTGAGGCTGCTCCACAGGCCCGACCAGGCGCGTTTACGGGCCCGTTCGCACCCAGATTTTTCGGATCCCTGGGGCGAGCCGCTCGTGTTGGCCGGCTGGACATGCCTATTCCCAGTGAGATGTATAGCAGGCGCGGCACTTCGGCCTCCCAAAGCAGGGAGTGGACCAGAACTGTTCCACGGGCCCGTTCGCGCCCAGACGTTCGGGGCCTCTCAGGCAGAACACCTGTGACTGTTCCAAGGGCCTTTCCGCTCCAAGATTGTTGGGACCTCTGAACGAGCTCTGTCTGCCGCTGCTGGCAGGGGGGGTTCAACCAAACCAAGGCACCCTATCAGACTCTATCCGACTCCATTTGCTCTAACTTTACTCTCTTCTACTCCCTCTCTACTCCTTCTCTACTCTACTCCTACCCTCGACTCTACTCCTACCCTCTACTCCACCGTACCCTACTCTATCGGACTCTTCCCTACCATACCCACACACATTCTACTATACTCTACGTTTGTTCCTACTGATATATGTTCCTATTCTGCTCTTTTCAGCTCTGCGCTACTGTACTCCTAGTTCTGATCCACTGTGCCCGTCGACTCCCTTCTGACTCTACTTGCCTGGTCTGTTCTGCCCTACTTAACTTTACCCTACACTACCCTGACGTACTCTACTCTACTCCATTCTGCTCTTACTTTACTTCACAACTCCTTGCAATGCATACTTTATTCTGGTCTCCTCTACTCGATACTACTTTGCACCACCCTACTGCACCCGATCCAACCCTGACGCGCCCGAACATCATCTACTCTACTCCACATTGCTGCTAGTCTACTATGATCAGCTCTCTTCTACTCTATTATTATCGTGCTCTACTTTACCCATGTACTCTTCTCAACTCGACTATTTCTCTACTCTCGTATGGTCGATACCTCCCCTTATCTGCCCTACTCTACACTATTATCCTCTACCCTACCGTGTCCCACCCTACTTTACTCGACTCTGATCTACCCTCTGTTCTACTCCTGAAAGTTACACTCTACTCTACGCCTATTCCACTCTGCTCGTCGTCGTTTTCGTAGTCGTCGTCGTCGTCGACGTCGTCGTCGTCGACGCTGTCGTCGTCGTCGTGGTGGTCGACGTTCGTCGTCGTTCGTCGTCGTCGCCGTCGTCGCCGTCGTCGTCGTCGTCGTCTTCGTAGTCGTCGTCGTCGTCGTCGACATCGTCGTCGTCGACGTAGTCGTCGTCGTCGTGGTGGTCGACGTTCGTCGTCGTTCGCCGTCGGCGTCGCCGTCGTCGTCGTCGTCGTTGTGCGTCGTGCGTCTTGCATCGTTGTCGTGGTCGCGGTCGTGGTCGTGGTCACGGTCGTTGTCGCCGTCGTTGCCGTCGTCGTTGCTGGGGAAGGAAAAGAGGGGCCCTGGACACCCCCAATGATGTTCTGGGGGGGGGGATCCGGACGCGTTCGTGCCCAGATCGTCGGGACCCTTCTGGCGAGGCGATCGTCTTGGCACGGTGGACACGTCTCTTCCCAGAAACCCATGATCGCCACAGTGTCGCAAATGCGGCGCTGGACATCCCAACGGGGTGTCGGCCGCTGTCTCGCGGGCCCAGCCAGGGGTGTTCCACGGGCCCGTTCCTGTCCAGTTTGTCGGGGCCCCTGCGGCGGGTCGCTCTTTTTGGCCCGGTGGGCGTGTCGCTTCTCAGAGCCCCGCCATCACCGCGATGTAGCAGGCGAGGCATTTGGGCTCCTCGGCGGGATTTGGACCACAACTGCTGTTCCACGGGCCCGTTCGCGCCTCGATTGTCGGGACCTCTCAGGCAGACCGCCCGTTTTGGCCCAGTGGGCGCGTCTCACCTCAGAACCACATGATGACCACGACGACGCAAGTGTGGCGCTTGGGCCTCCCAACGGGCACAGCGGGGTACCAACCCGGGGTATTCCACGGGCCTGTTCGCGCCAAGATTGCCGGGACTTCTAACACAAAACGTCCGTTTCGAACCAGTGGACATGTCTCTTCCCAGAGCCCCGCGACTACCACAACGCACCAGGTGTGGCAGTTAGGCCCCCCAGGGGGGGCCCAGCGGGGTGCCGACCAAGATTTTTCCACGGGCCTGTTCGCGACAAGACTGTCGGGACCTCCAACACGAAGCGCCTGTGTTGGCCCGGTGAGCTCAACGGTTCTGCCACAATGCGGCAATCGTGGCGTATTTGGCCATCCCATCGGAGTGCCGTCCAGGGCTGTTCCACGGGCCTGGCCAGGGGTGCTCCGCGGGACCGTTCGCGCCCAGATGCTCGGCGAGCCGCTGCTTTGGCACGATGGGCGCGTCTCATCTCAGAGCCAAATGCTAACGAAGATGTAGCAGGCGTGGAACCTGGGCATCCCAGCGGTGTGTGGACCAGAACCCACCACCCACCAAACCACCCCAACCCAACCCGAAGGCCTCAAATTGACCTCCATTTCCAGTGGGGGGGGTCGGGGAACATCGGGAAAACACATATGGAACCCGTACCCCCCCCAACCCGAAATTGGGGTCTTCGGGTTGGGTTGGGGTGGTCTGGTAGGTAGTCAAGAACTGATACACGGGCCCGTTCACACCCAGATGTCTGGGACCTCGCAGGCTCCCGTGCTGGCCCAGCAGACGAGTCTCAGCTCAGGGGCCCATGATAACCACACCACGATGTAGCAGGTGTGGCACTTGGGCCTCCAAGCGGTGTGCCTCCCAAAGACCACGATGGCCGCTATCGCAGCCCTTACTTAGATGGTGAAAAGCACTCCCTCCTTTGAGCTGGGCGGCCAGGCCGCCCTCACCACGCACTTCAGAACATTCGCTCGCACTCAAATCAGTTCGCATCCTGACTCACTTGTCATCTGTGGCACACACGCGGTAGCTGACACCCAGAAATCCGCTAACATCCAGTTTCAGACGCACTCAGCTTCGCTCTCATTCCGACCGTCGCCAGGAGAATCTGTAGAATTGAGATGCATGTATGGAGATCTTCGCGTGGAGCAATCGTTCTTCTGAGGAGAGGGGGGAGAGGATGGAGACGAGAAGAGAAGAGGGTCTGAGAGGTCTGGGGCTAAGGACTGTCCGACTCGCTGCTGGACGGCAACTGGACCCTCACGGACCCGACGATCCCGCACCCGCGAGGCCTCACCGGCTGCCGCTACCTCGCCTCTTGGGACCCGGCGACGCGCAAGAGTGGCCCTTCGCTGGGTCAGGGGACGATAGGGGGTGATAGGGATAGGTTCTCGGTCGTGTTCGATTCCAGGTTCCAGGTTTTCGGTCGTTTTCGTCGGTGCGCGGCGGCTTTCCAGCCTCGGGATTCGCTCCAGCAGCTGCGCCTCGTCGAGGGCGGTCCAGGGGTGCTGGAATCGTTCCGAACGGCCGCCGGAGGCCCGAGTTATGGCCCGAAAACCATCCGGGGATAGGCATGGGTGGGATGCATTGATTACCAGTCGCCCATCGATCGCCGATAGGGCTCTGATGACCCCACCCGGCCCAGGAAGGTGCGGCTTCGCTATCGGGGGCCCGTCGGCGCTCTCTCGGCGACGTCTCGCCGATTCCAGGTCGATGCATACCCCCCCCCCTGTGCCAGTCCCCCCCTATCGTTGCCCCTCGCTGGGGTGACCTCTCGTGCGCGGCTCTCGGGCTGCGCTGGGGGGCTCGACCCCCAGCCACGCAGGCCGCCGCGTGCTGCCGCACTGCACGCAACGGCGGGCTAGCCGCCGCGCACCGAGGGCGCCTCCTGCCCGGGGCCACTCTTTTGCGCGAAGCCGCCAGGAGCTGTCGGCCCTCGTCGGCTTCGACCTGTGCAAGCCGAGCGGCGGCTTCGGATCCATCCGCGGCGTGTGCCCTGTCTCGTGCGGCTGCGCCAAGGTCTGCCACGCGCAGAGGGGGGTGGGGGGAGGGGGGAGGGCTTCTTAGAAGCACCCCTGCTTCCTAGAAGGCGCGGGCCTTTTCTGTAGGTGTGAGGCCGGCGCCTTCTAAGAAGCAGCCTGCTTCTAAGAAGCCCTCCCCCCTCCCGCCACCCCCTTGTGCGCGCCGCCAACAAGGGCATGGACGATTGTCCCGCCGCCTGCACAAACGTTGCTTCCGACGACGACACGAGCGTTCACAACGCCTCGGACACCGCCGATGTCTCGGACACCGCCACCGATACAGTCACGGACACCGCCACCAATACCGTCACGAACACCACCACCATCACCACCACCACCACCACCACCACCACCTCGGACACAACTGTATCTACCACCTAGCTTTTGCGACTGCGCGACTGCGTCCAGCACCGCGGTGCCATGAGCGGCATCGCTCATGTCACAAGATTTGGGAAGTGACGAACGCATGGGTACGGGATTGGTGGCTATCTGTATCTTGTGCTCTGAGAAGCCATCTGCTTGTAGATTTCCGGGTCCTGGGCATGCTTCTCATCTTTATTAATGCCAGGACATGCCATGCTTTGTTCTTGACATCGGAATGTGCTGCTGCACGTCTGCCTCTTCTTAGTGTTACGGTGGTCCAATGTAGACCAACGTCATTCGTCTAATTACAGAGTTCTCACGCCCAGCTCCGCTTGGCGTTCTAAAAAGACCGCCAGCGTCTGCGTGGTGTTCCAGATCCGTCTGACGCCCTCTTCAGTTTCACCCCCGGATGTCCGTCGCGCTGTCGAGCGGCGAGGGCAATATCCCGGACAGGAGAAACAATGGCCATTGATGTTCTGCCTTCTTTGTGTCGAGTGAGTCTGGGGGTGTCTACGGTGCCCGGACAAAAAGTGTCCACGCCGACGTCGTGAAAGACAATCAGGCATGATGGCAACGACAATTGCAATACGCATGTGGCTCGCCCCCCCTCACCCTCAAACCCGAAGTTGAAGTATCCATATTTTGTCCCCCGCGCGTTGCCTCGCACCCAACCCGTCAACCTTGGGTTGGGGGGGGGCGGAGGCAGTGGGTATTTGTTCGACGCAATTCGATGTCGTCTCATATTGGCGCGATGGGTGCGGACACTTTTTATCCACCCACCGTAGTGAGTCATTGGGCTGGGGTGTCAGGTGAGTAATTTCCATGCCCCCCCCCTTCCCAGCACCTCTGCGGGCGGCTCCGCGAGGCGGGGTGCTCCCCCAAGCCTTCGGCGCTCCCCCCCCCTTCTCGTGCTCCCTCTCTTATTCCGCGTCGACACCCGCGGGCGCACTCCCGAGCTCCGACGCCGTGCTTCTCCTGCGCGGCGCCGACCCCCAGAGGTCGGAGCCCTCCCCCCGGGACGAGAGGCTTCTCGCCCCCGAGTCGCCCTCTGGCGGGCCCCCCGGGCCCGGCGAGGGTCCCCCAGAGTTTCGACTCGGCTTCGAGCGCTCTCGCGTGTCTCTTCGCTTGAGGTGCTTTGCTGTTTGGTGGTGTGTGTGCGTGTGTGTTGCGTGGCGTGTTGTTTTGCGACTCGTTCCAGAGACCCGTGCAAGTGACATCGATGTTCGTACGCACCACAATAGAAATCAGTGTGCAGATCGCCCACGAAATGATAGCGCACGGCCGCGCAAAAGGCTTTTGTCTGTAATCCGCAGCACGCTACGAATCAAGACTACAATGAAAATCCGAGTGCACCGTCCCACATAAAGATGTTACACGTAATCCACACTCAGAGTCAGTTTTTCAACCGCCTATAAACAAATTATTTTGAAAGGGAGCCAGAACAAGTTTGTGAGGAGGCCCAAAAAATTGCTCTCACATGTATTCTATGTTTTTTCTTGTGGGGTGGGGAGGCGGGTGGGGGGGCAATGGAGTCCAAAAACAATGTTCTATTTTGTCAGGGCCTCTTCCCAAGCTTCTTTTGAAATGTTCCCATGTCGTGGGAGATGTGCATGTTGGTTATACGATGCGGATTACATCTGGATCTTTTTGTAGGAACGAGCAAAGGGATTCCTTTTGTGGCCGAGTTTCATATTGATTCTTGTTATGCGATTGACAAGTCAATCTCTTCTGCGGGGCTGTACAATCGGATCCCTTCTCGGGGGAATTTACGTATTGTTCATTTTGCGCGTTACACCTAAAATCTGGACGTGTGACTTTAAAGTAGAATTTCTTTGTTGTGGTCTCGCAGATGGAATCCGATGGTGTGGGTTAAAATTCAAGATCTTCTGCGGGGCGTTGCAATATAATTCCATTCGTGGGCAACGTGGGCAATTCACATGTTGATTCCTATTGTGTAGATTGCAAATGAAATTCCCCTGTGGGGCTGTACTATAGCATTACAACCGTTCGTGGCGCTTTGCAATCGAATTCCTCATGTGGGCGATTTGGAAATTGATTTCGATTGTGCGGCTTTCAACTAAAATCCGCTCGTGTGGCTTTATGTTAATTTCCCCCTTGAGATCGAATTCCATATTGAATCCAACGGCGTGGATTACAAACATAATCTTTTCGATCGCTTTGCAAAACATTCCTTTCGTGGGCGACTTGCAAGTTCATGTTCGCTGTAAGGCTTACAATGTCAATCCGTTCGTGCGACTTCACAATCTCATTCTTTCAATGAGAACTGACATGTTGAGTTCTGTTGTATATACCATAAGCGATTTTAGGATCGTTCGGTTTGCATTCGGTTTTATGTTGGGACGATGTACAAGATGATCTTCATTGTGTGGATGACACAGATCGGTCGATTGATCGGTAGGCGGAAGGATGGATGGGTAGGTACATCGATGACTAATTAAGTATACCCGTAGACATACATGGGTATGTTTACATGTAAAGACCGGTTGATGTACATCTTTATGTAGATATGGATCGATGGATGAAGACATATTTGGGCATGCCGATTGGTTCGATGAAGGTATATTTGCATTTGTATATATCTATATGGAAATATGAGAGAGAGGTTCTCGCTTGCTGCCGTCATAAAGGTTCTCTTGTGGAGTGTCCCCGGGTTGCCGGCCAGTGCCGGAGGGAATCGCTGTGGTATAATCGACTGTCGCCCGAGGGTCCCGCGCGCGAAGTGAATATGTTGAGGTGGTCTAGCCCGCGTTGCGTAAGACATCCTGACAAGTCTGTGTGTCCTAGACGACCTGCTCTGAGATGGTCCGTCCCGTTTCGCGTGGGACATTCTCGCCACTCTGGGCCCCCAAACGTTGCCAGAGATGGTCCGGCCCATTTGGCCTGAAACATCCTGGCATCTTTGGACTTGGAGATGCCGTGACCTAAGGTCCTCAGATAATTTCGCCTGAGACATTCTCGCATTTCTGGGCTTGGAGATGCCGCGCGCGAGGCGATCTTGCCAGTTTCCGCTCGAGACGACATCCCTGCAAATCTGGGCACAGAGATGCCGCGTGCGAGGAGGTCCATCCAGGTTCGCTTGAGGCTTCCTCGCAACTCCGAGCAGCCGCTGAGGAATACAAGGAGGAAGAGGAAGAGGAGGAGGAGGAGGAGGACAAGGACAAGGAGGAGGAGGAGGAGAAGGAGGAGGATGGCAGGAGACCGCTCGTATTACAATCGAACAAGTACTTGTGTCTTCGTTGGTCTCAGGACACTCCTCGTCGCCAGGGCTGGACGTGGCTCGGGAAATGGCGGGGCGACCCTGGGTACCAGGGTCGCCCGGTGAGCTGGGGTTGTCATGTCTCAGAGGCGGCAGCCCCAACGGCGGTGTTAGGGAGGTGCCAGGGAGGGATTGCCCCCAGAACAGCTCGGTGTATCCCATGGCCCATGGAGGTTTCTCCGGCAGAACCGAAAGGCGAGATATGTGCTTGAACGTGTGAGGGGTCCGCGAACCCGGTAAGGAACAGATGTAACAAAAATAAGCTGTCAGACTTCTTTGGTGACGCCTCCATGTGTGAGGATGTCTCAAACGACAGCCAAACTCTTGGAAATTGCGTCGAATGCGGGGGCAGCTCACTGAAACCTGCTGTTTTGGAGTATGTCTTTGGCGACAGGCCGCGCCACGTCGAGTTCGATGTCCAACGCCCGAGCTTGACACTCCGTGAGTCTGAAGGTGTCTCATGCGAAGGCACCATGTTTGAGAACTCAGGAGGGGGACCCCCAAAAAAACACAGACACAATGAATCGGCGACTCCCAGGAAATTATGCGAAGTGGGGGGGAGACGACACTCCAGAAAATCTTTAAACATATGGGGAATCCTGTATGTATTTATTTGGGTGTCGTTGGGCCCCTTTGAGAACCACCGTCGTAAAACAACTCATCCCGCATTCCGATTGTGCCAGAATGTCTGAGGCGAAACGCCCACACACACACACCGTGTTGGATATCCTACGCCCGATCTCCAGCATATGAATTTTCTTAGGATGTCTCTGGCGAAAGCTTCACTTGTGAGGACCAACGTCGTCAACCAACTCCTCCAAATCCCCGCTGTGAGAAGATGTCTCAAGCGAAACGCCCCCCCCCCAGCCCCCTCACGCCGCGTTGGATATCCAACCCCCGATATTCAAAATTTCAATGTACGTTCTGAGTACGTTTCAGGCGAAGGCTTCATTTGCGGGAGCCGATGTCGTAAAGGAACTTCTACAACATCCCCTTTATGTTGTGAGGATGTCTCAGGCGAAACGCCTTGCCACACCGTGTTAGATATCGGACGCCCGATCTCCAGCATTTCAATTTTCTGAGGAAGTCTCAGGCGCAGGCTTCATGTTTGAGAATCAGCGTCCCCAAACAATTCCTCCAGCACTCCCATGGTGTGAGGATGTCTGAGGCGAAACGCCTTCCTCCCCCGCACATGATGTTGGGTATCCGCCGTCCGATCTCCAACGTTTCAAGTTGCTGAGGATGTTTCAGGCGATAACTTTACTTTTTAGTACCAACGTCGGGACGCAATTCATCCAACATTCCCATGTTGTGAGGATGTCTCAGGCGAAACGCCCCACCGACACACACACACACACACACGCACACACACACATTCACACACACACACACACCACAGTGGATATCGGACGCCCGATCTCCAGCATTTCAATTTTCTGAGGATGTCTCAGGCGAAGGCATCATTATTAGGAACCAGCGTCGCAACACAACTCCTCCAGCATTCCCATGTTGTGTGGATGTCTCAGGCATCACGCTCCTCCGCACCATGTTGGATATCCGACGCCCGATCTCCAACATCTCAAGTTTCTGAGGATGTCTCCGGCGAAAGCTTCATGTTTGAGAAGTAGCATCGAAAACCACTCCTCCAACATCCCCATCTGTGAAGGATTTCTCATGCGACCCCCCCCCCCAAGACACAACCTGTTGGATATCCGACGCTCGATCTCCAACATTCAATGTT